CAAAGATAGACCTGGATGTTTGGAAAACCCGATGGCATCTGGACTTCTCTTGACCTGGACTGTTCTATAGGGAGGATTTCATATGCCGCCTCAACAGTTATTTTTTCCAGCCGCAATACCTTTTTCCCACTCCTATCCCATCTCCATTCATTCGTTACCTCTCTGTCCTTCCTCCTCCTTTTGTCTTTTTATGAGGGCAATTGAACAATTGGTAGGATCGACGGTTGACCGCAGTGTGCTGTATGCCCTACCTGCAGTCACTAGCCTGACAGCATCACCTTTTTTGTTGATGTTTGGTCTGTGTTCCAGATTTCGAAAATTTGAGTATCCGCCCATAATGACCAGGGAAGATGAAGCGACACTCGAGGAGATCGCTGTACGTCACTCACAAGACCATTCATTCGACCATTTGCTCCTTTAAGAGTTCATCAAACTTTGCATACGCCGAGCCGCTGACATGCTACTTCATCAAACTTTGCATACGCGAGCTTCATCAAATTTGAGGAACCTGTTGTCACCAGGCTCCACAGACACCCATTTTGATCCTCATCGTGGCGCTTAACGACCACCACGTCTCCCATCTATTTTTTTTTGCCTGAGCTGTATGCACGCGTCGTCGTCAGGGGCTCGACCTATCAAAACTGTTTGGCTGGCGGTGGCGGCCAAAACAAAGAAAAGTTGTGCCGCACCGGTTTGTTTTTGTTTTTGGGCGCGCTGCATGATTCACCTTGGGAAAAAGAGGCTTGGACGTATTGGGGTTTAAGAGAAGGCGAACCCAAGAGCTTAGCTCACTGGGTACACCATTCAACTGTTGAAATACAGACCCGTGTTCGAACCTAGATGATGGAACTTGATGAGTAAAACCAAATATTGCTGAATTGCCTGGGGCCGGTCAGCTCAATGATCATATCTCAAGACCGTCGCCCAGACAAGTATGCAAAGTCTTAGCTATGTCAAGTAGAGTTAAACCATGTCTGGAGCTGCAGATCCTCCCTTGATGCCATCTACAGGGATCTTCCTTCTCTGGTGTTTAGGCTCCTTTGGACGCACGTAGCCTCAATTGGGCAGGAAAGTCCTGTGCAAGGCGGGTCCCAAGAGAGTGTGCTCCATGTATCTGACGTCGACCAGAGATTCAATTCTTCTTTTTTGTTGGAGTCTACTCAGTGTTCTCTGTTCTCCAACGAATTCCGACAGGTTCAGGTCATGCATCAGGAAGAGGTCAGCATATTAAACAGGGCGAGCCCGTGAGTCGTGAGGATGTCTTTCGAGTGACTGACCCGTAAACGACCAGTCCGTCCAAGCCTCTTCTTTCAGACACATATTGCTGCTGCACGGCAAAAAGAAACGAACCCACGAGGGCACAAATTGTCTTCTTTTTTTCACTGTGCCGACAGCCAGTTTGGTCAGGTAGACTGAACAAGCCCGTATCGAAGCGGAGGGTCAACCGCCACATTGGAACAAAACGGCTGGGGAAGGGATGAGTTGTTTATGGGATTGTTTGCGAGCATCTGACCCTTGAGTTTATTGGGTTGTTTTGTGAATCATTACCACACATCTAGGTATGTATCGGGTACGTCGACCAGCAGGCATGCACATAGTCACTGTCCTGTCTTCACTGGCCGAAAGACTTGTATGCCCATTATACAGCCGTGGTTGATCACTCCCGGGCTTAGCAGCCAGCCGTGGTTGATCACTCCCGGGCTTAGCAGCCTTGTTGGACTGGTCAAGACAGCTGAGAAGCTTCCCAACCAGTCATTGCGATCTAGAAAAAGATTGATTGATCGCAGCGAGCTTGACGTGATTGGAAGCAAAGTTAGCAAACACGCGGTTAGAAACATCATTGAGAGAAATGGAACGGATCATACACGATTGAATGTTTGGCATGAAATTATTATCCATCCACTTGGGGGCGCCGCGCGGCGAGCTGATCCCACAGAAGCATTAAACGAAACTGAAAACGATGGGCTACACGGTGAGAACTGTCTGGCTGTGGCTGTGCGCAATCTCTTGGTTTTCGGTGCTAAAAGTGATGCTGTTTGATTCTCTTGCTCAACCTAACTTGCCGAATGAAAAAGTCACGAATTCTTCTCCGTGCTCGTCACTTTGACGGGTTGCTTCCTGTCCTAGGCCTAGGCCTGCCTTGTCTGGCCAGGAACAATCTATAGTTCCCATAGTCCGAAGAGTCCAATTTTAGTCGTGGACTAGGGTTCAGATCCCGCCGCCCAGATGCCGTTGATGCATCAAGATTGCAAACCGGGTTCATCCAGTTCATGAATGAATTGCACACTGCCTGTGGCGAGTGTAGCTGTTGCGGTGAACTCAGCTATTGAAGTTTGTGACAGAGTTTTCCTTCTGTTTTCTCGAGTCTGCCGGTGGATTTAAGACAGTGCTTGAGTGACTGATCTGCTATGTGCTCAGCGTGATGAAGAACTGACGCATCTTGCTTGTCTCACACTGCTCACTCCCCCACCGTTCGGTGTTTTTCCGTGCAGAGGGAATCTAATCGTCCATTCTGGCCCAAGCCTAGGATGAGAAACGTCCCAGAGGAGGTTGAATATCGGCAACATCCAGATGTCGTAAGGGTAAGAGTTCGAAGTTCGAACCCTTGCGCGGACTTTCTTTTTTGCTGCAAAGCAGATGGCCCCAATTCTTACGTCTACATCATTTATTCGTTGGCTCCTCAGTTTTTCTGGTGTTCCTGATATTCATGCGATTATGTTCTTTTTCTTTTTGTGTTGCTTAGTCTCCTTGTTGTTGTTGTTGTTGTTGTTGTTGTTGTTGTTTTTAAGCTGTCTTCTCCTCATCGGGGGACAGCTGTTTTTTTTTTTTTTTTTGTCTCAATTTTTTCTTCATGTATATACAATATAGTAATATACACCTTCTGAGCATGGGACAGTAAGGGTTATGAGGCTGGATTCCCGACCTACTCAACTCTGCTCTACGCGGGGAGCAGTGCCTCGGCTCCTAACACCTGGCACGAGCAGGAAAGCGCACCATTGCTTTCTTCTTCTTCTTCTTTTTTTTTTTTTTTTTTTTTTTTTTTCCCTATACAACTCAGCCCCTTCTATTCTGGGGGGCATCAGTCCGGTTGCTTACCACCAGCAAGCATGAGTTCCAAAGTACAAATTATTTGTAGGAAAAGAGGAAAGCCTTACCCTTGTGGCCCTAGACGCCTAACAAGGGGGGGATTGCTACAACCGATCCCTCTTCCCATACCATAGCCTCCCCAGGGATACTTCTGTTGGTCGGGAGGTTTCCTAGCAGCACCCAGCCACACAACAGATGGGTCCCCAGGGAAGGCCTGGCCGGGGGGGGGCGTTCTAGCAGTCTCACGGGCCTCACATCCTGTCAGTCACACCCTCTGTTCAACCATCTTTTTTGTACCTACTAACACTCTTTTAGTCTAGAATCTAGATCCTTCCCTATCTCGTCTTCCTATTGATTCCTCAAGTCTCGTCTAATTTTTACACCAATCTCCTTTGTCCATCCTATCAGTCACAACCTCTGTTCAATCCTCTTTTTTATAACTACTAGACTCTTTTAGTCTAGTTACTTCCCTATACCTGGCTGCCTATTGTATGCTTAAGTCTCATCTAATTCTTACTCCTGTCTCGTTTGTCTTTGCTATCACCATTGCTTTCTTCATCGACCTTGTTTTTCTTTTTCAGTTTGGGTGAAACATGGCCCTATGGTGGTCGCTCCACTGTATTTTGGGGAACGTCTCTATCCGCTTTTATGGATTACTGCCAAGTTACAAACACGTTTTTGTCTTGCCCCATTCCCCTGCTTGTGTCTCTCACATAGATGCAACACACAGGATCGCGGGGTTGGTATGAGTGAAGTCGACCACTTTTCTCTCTGAGGGGTATGGCTAACTCTGGGCGATGTGGTGAGTCCCTATCCACCAGTCAAAAACATCCTGGGCAGACTGTTGGGGTTAAACCTTCTGACGAGCGGGGAAACAGCCGGGATTTTTTTTGTTTTGTTTTGTTTCTTTTCTAAATATATCATGCTGAGACTGCGTGGGATCCTGCTCAGACCCCGCCCAGCCGCGCGCCGGCTTGGGTGGTACCCGGGCAGACACAGCCAGTCCTTGCCGCGGGGGAAAGGACCTGCGTAGAAGCATTTCGGCGGACTTTCGAAGCTAAGGGGGATGGAATGCAAGGATTGAGCCCTCATGAAGCCATTCTCGGGCATGCAAGTGTTCTGGGATGCGGCCCCCAGCAAGCCTCGTGCCCGCCCTAAGTGAAGGCGGGGACATTTCTCGTATGTCGGATATCAGACAGTTGTAGCACGCCAGTTGGTTGCAGAGCAACGTGATCCTCTTCTGGCTCCTTCCAGAGGCAGCAGCTGCGTCATACAGTTGAGCCCAGGGCTCAGGTGCTTGAGCCCTGGGCACACGCACTGAGAGGCCGACACATCGGGGAGAGGCCGCGGACCAATCAGAAAGCAGATCCAGCATCACACACATGCTACGAGCCAATGAGATCGCTTCAAACACTTGGAGCCTGGGGAGCTGCTTGGACGTGCCTAACTGCACAGGGCCCAGGCCGATATCTGAAACGGGGCGTGGGTGCAGACACAGGGGCCGGACCGGAAGCTACTGGAAACTTGTCCAGCCAGGGCCGCACTTTCCACAAAGGAAAGTGCTCTGCCCAGGCAGGGCCATTCTGGCCTCAGCAGGCAATGCGGCCACGCTGCTGCTTTGCCGTGCGGTAGCTGCGCTAGCAGGCAGGCTGGACGCTTGCACAGGCACAAGAGGTGAGAGGGGCGCTGCGGTGGCAGCGGATGCATGGCGGCCGTAGCCGGGCTGCTGGGGCGCAGGCACGGTGATGGTGATGGTGGTCCTCGGGTAGGAGGCACATGCAGATGGGAGACAGGGTGTGATGAAGGGCAGAGAGAGAACGTTCCTGGTATATGCTGGCGGTCTGCGTTGATGATGACATCGTGTGCAGTGGTCTTCAACTTCAATGTGTCCTGTTGCATGAATGCAGATAGGATCGATAGGCTGAGTAGTGTAGGCTGGGCACTGGGCGCCACTCAGTAGGAGCGACACTGGATACTATGTTGGTGTGGTCAGTGAGCGTCGACATTGGCATTTGAGTTCACTGTATTGCTCTTATTCGGATGGTATCTTGGTGCATTGTGCTCTCTGCTTGGTACATGACTACCTGGGCTAATACGTGATTTCGCAATTTGGGATTCTGTCTATCGCTCTCGCTCATATTCCTTGCAATTTGGTATCAGAGCTGGTTCGATATCGCCGTTACCGGTGCTGGCGACTTTGTTACTTGGTGCGCTGACGAATCTTCTCTGCAGTGAGGATACATTGGCGATGGCGTGATTGGTGACTCCCGGGTAGAGGGGAGCGTCGCTGGAAGGCTGTGGCGACAGCGTGGCGGGCCCGGCGACTCTGGTAGCCTCGCTTCAATCATGAAAAAGCCAAGGTGCAAGGCGAGAGGTGGACAACATAGCGACTCGGTCCTCACGATAGCCAGGGAGCTTTCCATCATAGTCATGAAAGCTCCCAGGGCTCTCCTTCCTCCCAGGTTTAGTGCTCAACACACTGTCAGTTCCTCTACATAGGTGTGCCAAAATAATGATGGAATGTCTAACCCCAAGGCTCTCTGTTGGTATAAACTGCATGGTACCCAGGTAGCTACCCAGTCTCCAGGCCAAGCTACTCGGACTTCAGCCTGCTCTCTCAGATGGATAAGCGTGAGAGAGCAGGCTGAAGGCCGAGTAGCTTGGCCTGGAGGTATCCTACTCTAAGTTGGTCTGGTTACGTTCATTTCAGGTGAGCACTGCTGAGGTTTACTGGGCCTCGGATTTACCGAAAAATCCCCTTGGCCTCCAAACTCTTTATCTTCCCCTGTATGTTCCAAACCTGAGTCTGTAGGTTTCCCGAAGTCCTGGTAACTCCCTTTCCCTTGGCTCAGAACTTAGCTCGGACACTCCCTTTCCGCGGCTCAGAACTTACCTGGCCACCCAGGGATCAGCGCATGGGCAAGTTCCAAGCATTGTGGTACATATGCACAGACCTCACTTGGGACACATAGAAGTCTCAGACAAATCAGAACTTCACAGACGGAATGCACTGAACACAGACATCTGAGACTGCAAAATGCCGTTGGGCATTGCACAGTCAACCATCAGGTGGTGAGAACTGCCTAGAGAGTTCGGGATGCAGAGGCGGGGACCGACCATCAGGAAGGCAAGCTGCAAACCTGTTCCTGGGGCAGCTGGAAATCAGGGTTGGAAAGTATGCCACCTGGTGGGGACAGATGAATATGGGCAGATCAGACATCCAGTTTTGATTGGATTCCATTCTTTTCCCTATGGTTATGAATGATCCTGGCCGATTTCGAAGTACACATTCATCAGAAAGCACAATGCCGTCCAATTGCAAAAAGAAATGAATGGACTTGAGAGGAGAGAGAGGGAAAGAAGAAGAAGAAGAAAACGGGGGCCTGCCGCCAAAACTGAATGGCGCCCCAAGAGAAAACGCGGGCCTGGCGCCAGACATGCACTGGCCTATCTGGGCCTCCTAAGCGAGGCCGGTCCTGAACTGGAAGGGTAACAGGCCTATACGAGCCTATGAACCCTACAGGCCCTAACACGGGCCGAAACGACACTGGTCCTGAACGGACCCAACAACCCCCTAACCAACCCCTAATAATCCACCTGGGCGGGCCCGGTAGGGCCCGTGTGGAACGCGGAATGCCACAGTCACCCACCCACAGACCCAGGACAACCCATAAGAACCCCATTCCCCCCCTCCCCTCATACATATTTTCCAGCTGCGGTCCACCTGTGGACTTCAAAACTAGGAGGCCCAGGAAACAGAAAGTCTCTACCCTGGGGCCTGCTGTAAAAATAAAGTTGTGGTCCTCGAAAAAAAAGAGCGACGCTAGTGGCAAATTGAAAGTCGGGATCCTCCTTGAAAACATGTGCCGCCAGCATAAGATCCCTTTGCAGGTCTTAGCGGTCAGGGCAAAATGGGAACTACTCGTTGTGAGCCGTCGAGCATGGCTGACTTGTCACTTCTCTTTTGTATCTTACTTACACTTTGTTGTTTTGCAGACATTCAAGGTATGGAGGATGGCACACATGGCATGCGAGATTGAGGAAGAGGAGGCAGAGAAGGAGCAGCTGAGGCAGGCAGGCATCCTGACAACGGAGGATGACAATGATGACGATGACGAGGATGACGACGAACAATTCGGTGCCATGGGAATTGATTTCCGACAGGCCACATCTGCTGAAGATGAAGACGACGATGACGATGATGCCGAAGATGGCGGCGTGGACTGGGATTTCAATGATCCGGATTACGAGGAACTTTTTGTAAGTCACTGGTCAGGGATATGTCTACAAGGATTAGTACCTTGTCAGCAACACCCTGTCTTCAACCCTGCGCCTGAGTGTGAACGCTTTGTTTCCTTACCTCTAGCATTGCGTCAGTGCTGATCACTGATGCTGAACCCGGATTGTTTGGGCGTGGCCAGTTGGGCCAAAGCTGGTGGCGTGCGCTGAGCAGTTTCTGATGCTGGCAAAATCGGCTCTTGTCTGCAGAGACTGGCAGTGGAGAGTGCCAATGCAGAGGTTTATAACCCACAATATAGGATGTCAGAAATCATTTCTCCGTGGGGCTCTGTTGAGAAGTAGAAGAAGAAGGAGAAAACAATGATGATGATGATGATGATGATGATGATGATGATGATGATGAGGAGGAGGAGGAGGAGGAGGAGGAGGAGGATGTGATGATGCGTGATGGATGATAATGGGAAGCAAAGAAACATTTTGTCCTGTGTTCAGGTTACCAACCGGGCTGACGTGGGTCTCCTTGGTTGCCCTGGCGGCCCGGCCGGCAAGGAAAAGGGAAGGACCCTACCCAAGAAAATGTAATGGAAAACAAAAACAAAGTTGTGCGGGAAAACAAACTGAAAAACTTTTTTGTCTCAGGGTCCCGTCGAAATTCTTTACCAAATTGGAAATAAAAACAACATTAAAAAAAGCATTTATTTATTTTGGGCTGGCCGGGCAAATGGTCCCGTCCCACTCTGGTAGCCTAGCCTGCATTTCAATAGTCTATGAATGCTGATGATTGATGCTGGTTGCTGATGACGATCACAGTACGCGGTGATGATTGATGATGAATGTCATCATTACAGCAGTAGATGACGATCGATGGCGATCGTGAGGATGATGATAGTTGATGATGATGATGATGGCAGGGGTTGACGATGGTAGAGATGATTATGATTATGATGATGATGATAATGCTAATGATTGACAGTGATTCGTGATTTCCTATAATGATTTCATGATAATTTCATAATAATGGATGATGTTTGATGTTGAAGATGGTGATGATACGGCGATGAGAGATCCATAATGTTAGAGGCCACAGATATTAGGATCCAAGTACAGTCGTCTGGCAGCAGCGTTGTGACCGTGTCAGTCTGCCGTCACGGTGCTGCCCGTCCATCCTGCTGCCTGTTTGTGTACAGGTCCAGGGCAAGGTGGCCATCAGGGGCAATGGCGGCGCTGTAAGAGAGGTTTGATCATGGAATGGCAGCGAAGTGGGGCTCAGAAAATTGGTGTGCGTTGCGAATGAACGGGGCATTTTCTCGTGCTCCGTCTTTTGTGCTTGGAGTTTGAACCCCAAAGCTATTTGGGCTTGTTATTATTGCTTGTCATGAAGGGATAGTACAGATCCTTTGGGTTATCGGGGAGAGGGGGCAGGGGTTGTTGAGAGGAAAGGGGTATCAAGGCTCAAGGGAGGGAGGGGTATCAAGGGTTTTTTGAGAGCGGGGGCAAGCAAGGGTGGAGACTCGAGAGAGAGGGGGTGTCAAGGCTCAAGGGAGGAGAGGTATCAAGCAAGGGTTATTTTGGAGAGGGACCAGGGGTTGAGAGGGAGGGGGTATCAAGGCTCGAGGGAGGAGGGGTATCAAGGGTCCTTTTTTACGATTTTTAATGCGTTGAAATGCAAGGGACTGCGAAGCGCCTCAGGCCTTTCTGCTGATAATAATGGGAACACCCGTTCAAGATCCCAGGTCTATTATTAAACTGTAAAGCCCATCTGCAGGCGGCGCTGTAGATTTTGCCCATACACAAGTACCGGGCCAAATTCTACGGTGCCCAGGCCCGGTAGAGGCTTGTACCAGGCCAAAGTCTACGGTGCCCAGGCCCGGTAGAGGCTTGGTGGGAAGGGGCATCTGCGTATTTGTTTCTAAGTCCAGCACTGTTAGTTCATTTCTTTCTTTCTTTTTTTTTTTTGGACCATTTCTCGATTTATGCGAGTCATCCTTGCGCAGGGGGGGGAAAGGGCCAGGGGCAAGGGGGCACTGTTAGTTCCAGGCTCAAAAAGAAATGCAATTTTTATTTTTCGTTCGTCAATTTAGCTGTGGATGGACTGGTGGTTTAAGTCTCTCAGAGACTCTACTCATTAGGGATGTGCGCTGTAGAATATATGAGAGCTGCTCCCTTTTGTAGCTTTTCATGAAGGGCCAAGGGTTTTGCACCCTTCAGCAGGGGTGGGGAGAGTGTCTGGCGTTTCAGAAATCTTTCAATCTTCTTCTGTATATTCCTTTGCTTGCCATGTCTTCCAAGGATTAAGGGCAGTGCAAATGAATAATAAATTAATAATTCTGTTTTCTGTACACTTGTTGGCCTCATGCGTTAGAACTTAGAAGGCAGCACGTGCTCCTCCTCGCACATTCTAACGACAACAATCTGTTGTTTCTCATTGTGATTGTTGTGGGTGCAAACTGTTACATAGCCAATGGACCCTCGAGAGGAACAAGAACTAGATATCGAGTCGGCACGCCAGGAGCGCGCGGTACCTCCTAGCAATCCTAAGACCAGACCCAGACATCCATACCCTTACTATTCTCTTCCCCCTCTACTGGTCTCTCTCTCTCTCTCTCTCTCTCTCTCTCTCTCTCTCTCTCTCTCTCTCTCTCTCTTTTTTTTTTTTTTTTTTTTTTTTGCCATTCTCTCATTCATTATCAGTGTCCAATGATAGCTGGCTCGGAGAGGTGCAATTGTGGCCCAAGCTATTTGCTGTGACGTATGGCATTATCAAGTTGAAAATCGAAAACAGAGAGAGAAGCCCAAGAAAAAACTGAATGAAAGTCAGAAGTAACGACGAGGAACGGAAGACGCACCAAGAACACAGAGCATTGACAGGAGAGCTAAAGAAAGGCCATGATACGATTTAGCTAATTTATGAAGATCATCCATCCTTTTTTGCTTTTTTTTTCACCACCACTACCTCCGAGCCTGTTTTTGCCGACCCTGATTTTCACTGCGCACCGAGTTTTGCTGTGCCTGGGTTATGTTTTGTATCTTTTCTGGTACTCTCCTGAAAAAAAAGAAAAAAAAAAGCACGGCCAGACTTTCAAAACATGACCCACTCGCAGCCAAAAAGAAATAAAAGAAAAAAAAAAAAAAACACCCCTTTGTGTGTGTGTGTGTGTGTGTGTGTGTGTGTGTGTGTGTGTGTGTGTGTGTGTGTGTGTGGAAGAGAGAGAGGGAGTGAGCGAGAGAGAGAGAGAGAGAGAGAGAGAGAGAGAGAGAGAGAGAGAGAGAGAGACGGGGGGGAAGGGGAGAGGGCTAGGCATACATTCCATGAGCAAAACTCAGAAATCGGCTGTGTGTCTCAGTTCGTGTTTGGCAGGTCATTACGTTTGCACCAGTCGTTGTAACTCGGGAGCGTTATGGAATTTAAGGCTCAAACAGAAGACCAAGATGTGTGACAGTTTTGTGAGATGGAGCAAGTATATAGTATACTAACTTTTACTAAGTATACTATATTTCAGATTCAGCACGTCTTGTTGTTGGAATATCGTTTTGTGCTCCCGGGGGGGGGCGGCCGAACTCACACGAGTCCTGATTTTTTGTGTGACCCCTGCATGTGCATTCCTCCAACAGGAATTCGACGCAGCAATGGAAGAGGCTGATGCAAAGGGGATAGAGTTTGTCCCACCGAGACCGTACTATGAGGCCCGTATTGCAGAGCTCGAGCGGATGCAGTGGCAGCGTCACATGGAACATGAGCGCACAACAATTCGTGACAACATGAGGTTGGTAGTTCTGTTCCACACCGGTTCGCATGTGACCTGTCGAAGCATCGCATCCAATCCTTGCAGTTGCAGCCATTATTTTGAATTGCACACCGCAAAAAAAAAAGGAAGAGAAAAAGACCGCATCCAATCCTGGCAGTTGCACTCAGTTTTTCCAGTGGCATGGCGCAGACGAATATCACATACAGCGTGGCTTCCTCGTTCGAGGAATGCAGAAGCGTAGCGAGATTGCAGTTGTGTGTGTGCGTCATTTCTATTCCGTATTGCGCGTAATCTTACACCAGTTGGTGATGCAGAAGAATGCAGGTTTGTTTTCCATGAATGAATGGATGGATACGCCGTGAGCCTCAGGCTGATGGATCTTACACTGGACGAAGAGAGAGAGCCATGACGGTCAGCCAAACGGTGTTTGATTTGCAGTTCTCCATAACATCGTTTTTTTTTATTTGGCCAGATCTTTTTCTTTTTTTTTCGTGCACTTGGGCTGCATGGGACCTTTTGACCAGGACCTTGCCCTGACCTGGCCCCGACCAGGCCACCACTCGGGCGAGAAGAAGCAGCTCGGGTGGCCTGGCTGGTCGGTCACCCGTAGTATCAGTAGCGTGACCAGCCGACCCTAAAACACAAAGGAGAAGAAGAAAAGGAGGTGTGTGCCGTGATTGTGCACATTCAGCATCGTGCAGCCGGGTTCCCTGTATGGTGCTGGCTGCTGACGGTTTGGTATGTATCGTCCGGTTCCATGACATGGTGCAGGCGAGTAGAAGAAGGTCTTCCCATTGAAGAGCCAACGAGATACGTCGACCGAAGCTGGTTTGGCGAAAACAATTTTGATCCCGATGACAAGCGGTTCAGTCATAGTTACTTTGGTGATCCAGAGCAAATTGAGAGAGAAGAAATGGAGGGGGGACCTCGAAAGGAGCCCCCCCCGGAGAAGCCAGTGGCGGGCGGAGGTGACGGTGAAGATGCTTCGGCGTCCGCTGAGGCTGGGGAGGAAGATGAGGATAAGGCAGAGGTGGCCACTGGGTCCGAACAAGAGGATGAAGACACTGCTGATGACCAAGACGAGGCAGGTGATGAAGACAGTGGCAACATGTGGGTGGGCTCGTCGAGTCAGGGCAATGGCCAAGATAGAGATGCAGTTAATGGCCTGTCGCGGGGAAAGCTCAGTTTCCGGGACATGTTTGGCAGCGGCGATTCAACTGGCAGTGAGGTAAGCAAACCCAATCAGTATCACCCATCTTTGCTGGAAGTAAATGTGAGCTGGACGGGACCTTGTTTGTTTTCCCTTGCTGGGATTTTTTTAACGTCTTGCGGGATAGAGTGTTGATCGATTACCATGACAGCGATCCGGACATCCGGAGTCCAGACAGGGATCTGGACTGACCGGTTTCCAGTGTCTGATCCAGGTGTCTGGATCCCACTCCATTCGGCTGGGTGAGAGGGGCAGGCCGAAATCTTTTTGGGCGGCGGCCAAGGTCCATTCACTGTATACTGGGCTGCCGGGTAAAAATGACGGCCGGATTTTTTTTCGTCCCTGTTCGGGATCCAAACACTCCTGATCCTCTTTTTCCACCTCCTTCTCTTCGTCCTCTCTCTCAATATTTTGTTTTGTTTGTTCTGCTTGTTGTGCTTGTTCTGCTTGGTTTGTTTGTTCTGCTTGTTTTGCTTGTTTTGTTTGTTTGTTTTTATCATCAACTTTTGTGCATTTTGTTTGTTTCCTTTGTGTTCATTAATTTTGTGTGTTTTGTGTGTTTTCAACTGTTTTGTTCATTCTGTTTTGTCGTTTGTTTTACTCGTCTTGTTTGCGTTTTTCCTTGTTTGTTTTTGGTGGCTGCTGCTGCTGCTTTTGCTACCTCAACTGCGGCTGTTGTTGCTGCTTCCCTGGTCATAGTTGTCCTCGTTAATTCACACAAATTTCACAGTTGTCCTCGTCCCGACTCCTTGCTGTCCGTGCTTCTCCTCCTGCTGTTGTTTTCATCTTTTTTCATTGCTGATGCTTCTTCCGATTTTTACCGTCCCTCTGGGCCTCTGTAGAAAGTGTGTAGATTACTTGTAATACGTGTTTTTTTTTTTTTTTTTTTTTTTTTTGTTGACTTGGTGTTATTATATTTACTGAGTCCCCGTATGCATTTGTTGGTCGCTCAGGGAGCCTTGCGAGGTGTACTGCCACAGCTAGATGAAGACGACGACGACTCCAGAGGTCCCACCGGTGGTCTGTCAAGCCAGGTATCAGCTTTTGAAAGCGACAAGGAGGAGACGGCGGATGACAATGACGGTGAGGAGAATGCAGACGACGGAGAGGAGGAAGAGGAGAAATAGTGTGAATTCTACGATAGCTTCGACTTCCCTGCGAGCATATGTTACGGCGCTACGCGCGTTTGTGACGGCGGAGGAGGATGACGGTGAGAAAACTGCAGACGACGGAGAGAGGAGGAAGAGGAGAAATAGGGTGAATTCTACGATAGCTTCAACTTCCCTGCGAGCTTATGCCGTGGTGCTACGCGCTCTTGTGAGCCGCGCAGCCCCGGGACGTCGCCACCAAGCCGGCTTGCTTCCCCTCCGAGCGAGTCATCACTGCACACTCTTGTCGAATCGTAAAGAACCGTGAATCCAGATTCTGCCTCTGGTGAGATGTGCAAGTTTGTTTGAGGGAGCGTGGTTCTGTCTCCTGTTGTCGACGTCAACGGTCATCTCATTCCATTCTATCTCCGACTCGCCCTCACCGAACGGATCCGTTCTGCCCAGGTGGACGTTTTCTCAGAGAGTCTCCGGGCAGGTTGTTGCGTTGGCTAATAATGTTTCCATGCTTTCCATGCTTTCCTTGTCTTCCTCGTTTTCGGCTATTCCTCGGAGAGTCGGAGTGGGTAACTATCTACTATCCACAGACTACGGACGAAATCAAACTCCAAGCATCCACCTGTTCTTTTGTCTTCCTTGTTTTCCGCTATTCAGTGATGATGTTTGAAGTTAGGTATCGTCTGTAGGGAAAAGGCCAAAAACAAGGATCGGCAGAAGTTCCTTTTTTAAGAAAAAAAAACAAAGAAAAGAAAAGAAAGGATCACCACACAGATTGGTACTCTGT